ACCTCTGAGGTTCCTGGCTCTAGGGTCTTGCTCTGCTGCTCAGGATCAAAATGCTCACCAAATACGAAGTTAGGAAGAAATATTATTTCTAGTCAGACTGACAAAGACTTGTGCATGTGTGGCAAGAAGGGAAGCTGGGGTGGAAGCAGGGGGGAAGGATTGCCTTTTTCTCTAGTGTGGGGTTTCATTCTTTTCCTAGGGTCCTCTTAGTATGAATTGACCAAATATTTCTCTGCCACTGCAGTAGCAGTGCAATGGCAATAGCCTTATCTCCTCTATTTTTACCTGTAGCAGGTTGCAAGATATTTTTGGCTTGTAGTTGTGGGTGACGGTTGGGAATAAATGTTTTTTAAGCATCTGTGTAAATGGTCGCCTATGAATGCAGATGGCCTGGAAATCATCAGTCATTAGGCTGCATCCTCTGATAAAAATCCAGTCAGGCATGCTGGTATGACACCTCATCTTCTGGTTCTCCAGCACCAGGGGTGACCAGGCCAAAAACATAGCAGAAAGAAGCTGCTACACAGAACACTTGTTATATGTGTTTTGGTAGGGCTGGAAGCCTAACGTGTACCAAGGGCCCCCTAGACCAGGCAACCAACTGAGGAAGTACTCTTTATCCCAACTATCTTAAGTATAGGGAAGCAGACAGACGTCCATGGGCAGCATATCCCTAAGGAAGGCCACGAAGTAAGTGATATGGGTTCCATTACCTATCTCAGAGCAGAGATACCCCAATAACTAACAGTGAAGAAGCTGCAAGCTGGCTTGGGCTCCAATATCTAGCTGAATCGCCTCCTCTCTCCTACTGCAGAAAGGATTCTGCCTCCATCTCTTCCCATATAGGGCCACCTGAAAAGGGCCCAATTAGAAGGCAGACACTTGTGCCCATACCTGCCTCTTTAGCTTCCTGAGCAGAAATTCTGTCCCCAGTGAGGACCATTTCCATAGCTAACGATTTGCCCACTGCTCTCGTGAGTCGTTGAGTCCCGCCAGCTCCTGTGTTTGAAGAGGAAGACGGCAGTTAGATTACAAAGTTCATTAAGAAGCAACTTCCTAGACCATGGGTCAGGTGGTTTTGCTGCTGCTTGTGAGCTGGAACCCTGTTGCAGGAACCAAGCAAGCAGTAGGACCCTAGGGATGCCCCCTCTGCTGCCCTGGCTGCAGCATGCCACCAATTCCCCCAAGCTGCTCCAGATCCAGACTCTTTGCAACTCAAAACCTGCCCCCAGTTTGTAGATTGCCAACCCTTGTGCTTGACAAACATACTCTGATCTCTCACAGATTCAAAGGCAGCAGCACAGCTGGGAGGAGGAAAAAGATTGTGCAAGGAAGGCAAACTGCTGGATCTTCATGGAATACACAGGTGGAAACAGGGATTTTTCCACTGGCTAGCCACTGCTGCCTCACTGAGTTCTAGGGACTAGCTCTGCCCTTGTGCTTGGATGTCACCTTACCCCCTACAGAATTAGAGGACACAGAGTAAAAGACAGAAGAGTGTGTGTAATTCACTCAATTATACATCACAATTATGCTTGACATGCAACATGTCCCCTCTAACAGGGCCCCAACACAACTGTGTGATGGGTATTCTGCGCATAATGCTCTGATGTAGATGTACACTAATTAAAATGAAAGTATATCCAGCTACTAAATTACCACAAGGTTCTAAATGAATCACCAATCATATTATCAGACCTACTAGGGGGACAAAACTCCTTAGTGGATGAGAAAGCAACCAACAACATATATACTGCTGGCATCAAGGATCATCTTGACTTAGCAGAAAAAGAGAAAGCGGCTTTCCGTTTTATTGTTAGGGCACACAATAGCATAGCACATCATTGGTATGGGACAGTTCACTCAGATCCAATTAAGAAAAAGAAAAGAAAACCAAGGTTAACATTCAGACCCAAAAATGTCTTATAGTACACACACAGAAACAAACACCATATTTACTGAATTCAAAGATGAGGGGTTTTTTTCCCCATTAACATGCGTGGGAAAGACAGGGTTAGGTATGGAGATGGAGCTGCTGCCTGTACCTCCACCCCTGTAGCTTTCGGCCCCCTGTCTCCCTGTTTCCCAACACTTGGAAGCCTCTGTTGTCCTGCAACTGCTACAGGGCAGGGCTGGGGCTGAAGCAAACATATGCTCCTTCCTCTGGGCTGCAGTAGGGATGGAGCCCACCAGAGCAAAAGTAAGGGTCCCCCACATGACCCCCTCCTGCCCCACAGCCTTAGGGCCCCCTTCCCCCAGGCAGCCTCTGCCTCCCCACCTCCTGCCCACCTACTTCTGCCTTACTGCCTGTCCCCCTGCCATTGTTTTCCTCACTGCAGTGGTGGGAGGCACAAATTTAAGGTGACCCACCAATAATTACATTCTATACATGGAAAATTCTAATAGAGTTCAGAAAAGAAGTGTTCAGAATCATTCTGGCATTTAAAGGATCAATGGGAACAAACATAGGTATGGCCATTTAAAAAGAGAAATGTGTGAAAAACAGCTAAGGAAGGATCTTTTCTAAAAACAACGTTTCTCTCTGTGCCCGCTATGCATGCTTTCATAGAGGCATTTAGCAGCCACTACATAGTTAGAAGACATTTGACATTTGCACTAGAAAGCCTGATAAGTAAGGACTCAAAAGTCATAAACGTTGCCTTGGTTTTAACTGGTCACAGTCACATCTATATCTGTAGGACTAGTCAGCATCTTCTATACTCTGGGTGCAGGTATATAGCAGGTCTATAATACCATTATTTCTAAAATGCAACCGTGTCCAGTGGCTTTAGGTAACTAACAGTGATAGGGGCTGAAAGAAGCTTGGCCACACTAAGTTATGCCTAGTGAACACAAAGAAAGGAATTCACTCAGTAAAAGTTACCTGGAATGGTTCCCAGCAAGATTTCTGGTTGTCCAAACTGTGCCTTCTCACCAGCATAAATGATATCGCACATCATGGCCAACTCACAGCCACCACCCAGCTTTGGAAGACAGAATAGAATTAGGACCTGTTCAGTGCCACTTCGTACACAATGCTAACTTGATCTACCTACCTACTGGTCTCCATCACCATCGTATCAGAGGCCCCAGCACAACCTACGCAACACTCTGTGGAGGTGGGAAAATGCTATTATCCACATTCCACAGCGGGAGAATGAAGGCATAGGACAGATTCAGAGACCTGCTCAAAATCATAAAGGAAGTCTGGGGCTGAGCCAGTAATTGACCTTGTAGTTCCCAAACTCTGTCCAATGGCTGAGCCACTGACAGCATCCCAGGATTGGCTCAGGAAGCCCAAACCAGTATGGTTTACAAAGATAAACTGTATAAAACAAACTGTTTCAAAATTCAGCTCCTTTCTTGTATGAGGACCCCAAAGGGGTGAGAAGAGAGGAAGTTAAAGCAATAAACTCCACAGCCAGAACTGCAGGGAACTCTTCGATAGACATGTCTGGATGTATTTTCTTTATTTCACTGCTGTGACTCAGTCTTTCTGCCCAGATTCAGTCCTAAGTCTCTTATATGTGTTATTGAACAACCCTTACCTGATTTTTATTTCTAATTTACAGAGATGAAAGAAAGCTCCCCACTGATGCCACCCTCAGCATAAGGTATTTTATTATCCTTCAACAATCAGAGAATAACCCCAAATGTCCAAACCTTACAATAGTTAAATCTGGAGGCAGCACAACAAAAGTCTTAAGAACATTAAAACTCCCATTGGAGCTTGGCTTGAGTCTGCATGGAGGCACCTGTGACAAGAATATAAACTATTCCCATGGTATGACATTGACACAGTAGCATTCTTGGTCATGTGAATGTGGGGAGGGAAGAGATTACAGAATGGGAAACCCAGACTCACAGCATAACCATTAACAGCCGCTATGACTGGCTTTCTGACTGTAGAGACACTGTTCCAACCAGCGAGGAAGTTGCTCCTATAACATTCCTGAAAGGTGCTGTTCTGCATTTCTTTTATATCTGCTCCAGCTGAAAGACAGATTATTTTTTATATGGGATGAGCCAGAAAAAAAAAACACTGTGCTTGATTCTGTAAATAAACAGCAGTGGATTAATTTAAATAAATTTTAAATAAAGTTTCAAGAAGCCCTTAATTAGGGGTCAACTTGAAATCTTGTCAGTTCCAAAAAATAAACCTAACCCCACACCACCCCCGATAAGTACTGTAGTTTTCACGTATCACCAAAATCTTCCCTACTACTTTCTCTTCCCTATCACTACATGAAGGTATCAAACAAACAGAAAACATGACATGTTTTTACCAGGGGAATGAATGAATTGGTTGGAAAAGAAAAATTATTTTCTCTGATCACTTTTTCAGTGATCTTAGAAGTTACTTGTAACAGTAAGCAAGTAAAAGTACACAGACAAAGATATGATGCTTAAGCCCTTTTGCAAGAATAGCTGTCACATGACAGACCTAAAAAGCATGGTTATGAAATATTCACAGTATTAAAAATAACCTTCTCCATCCTTGGAACTGTACAGAGTTGCCAGCCACAATTCAAGACTGACTTGTTTTGTTTAGAAACTATGCTGTTTCCTAAAGGGACTGGATCTTGTAACATTTGGGGCATTTAAAATAGGACTCAACAAAAAGCTATAAAGCATCCTGTAGGGAACAGCCCTTCACTAGCCTCTGAATGCAGGATAAGACCAAAAAGATATTTGCTAGTTCTAAGAGCCTGGAATATGATATACTGATATTTGCACAGGTGTAACTTACATGGGTTTTCTCCACCAGTGTAAACTGCATTGGGATCTAAAACATGTAAGTGAGCAGCAATTCTGGGGTAGCTGCATGCAGTAGGCAGCTATCACTGTGTTTCACCAGTAAGTGGTAAAGTACATACTTTGAAACTTTATGACAACAACAGAAGACAGAAAAACAGGAGCAGCAGAAACAGCATGTTGTGGACTGAACCAAGAACCCACAGCCACCCACCCGGCATGAAAACATACGCATGAGCTGCAACAGAGTCTGATCCCATGTAGACCTCGTCAGCCCCCTTCAGACCCACAGATAAAGCAATCATCCTTGACTGTGAGGAGGACAATCATCCTTGACTGCCAGGGATTGCTGATGATTGTAAAGTGTACAAAATAGCTTGTCTATCTTGGGCAAGTGGCTACCCCAAGCTAAGTTGCAGAGACACCTATACTGGTGTAATTTACCCAATTCATTTGGGGGTAATTCAACACAATGGGATTAAGCTAACCCAGTGTAAGAGCTTACCCTGTCTGCCTGTTCCTTTCTTACATCTGCATAAACATGTCATCTGCCCAGGTCCTAAAAGCTTTTTTACCTCCACTGCCATTGCAAAGCATGGTCTGGCAGAAATGTTTGGGGTAGTGAATGGCCTGGCTAATCCAGCCTGTCTCCACCTGGAGATCAAGCCTTTTTCAGTCCACCATGATGAGTTTGCCATTTTGCAGACAAAATTGTTCATATCCAAGCAGGGCTTGGGAACCACCACTCTTGCTGCAAAGTCAGAGTTTAGGATTGAGGAAGTGAAGACTTGTCCCATTTTTATGGGTTGCTTTACATCGCTGTTACTCTCTGATGCACAGGATGTGCTTAGAAGGATGTAGGAGACCAACTATGAACTAAACCTATGTCTGGGCTGGCTGGTGAAAGTCAACCAGGAGACATTGCACCCACTGCTGGCATAGGCTGTCAATGCCTCCTTTCAGGAGGGCAGGATGCCAGACATTAAGTCTACGATTGTCTGGCCCTGTCACAAGAAACCCTTATCTTGTTGCCCCTCCTATTCTATGTGTATGAGGCCACTGGGCAAAGTTGTGTGGAGATTAAGAGTGAAGTGATGACACCCAGCTCTACCTTTCTCATTTGATCCCAACTCTGGGGTCTCCATCCATTTTCAAGTACCTGGTAACTGTGTGTCAATGCATTTTTGAAGGAGAGATGACAGCTGGACTCATTTTTCCCTTAATTCTCACATACCCTCCTGGAAATAAAGGTATCAAGAGCCATACAAATCTGTCTTTCCATAAGAGTATGGTGTCCACAAACTTCCTCCACCAGCAACAGGTAACACATGAAGCAGACCAGTACCAGCTCTAATTCCTACACATCTCACTTTCAGAGATGCCCAGTTTGCTGCTCTAGAGATCTACATGTTGCCCACTATCCCTACCTGCAAAGGCTTTCTCATTTCCTGTGATGACAATGGCTCCCACTTGAGGGTCATTCTCAAACAAGTCCAGGGCCACCTTCATCTCATTCATCAAACCATCACAGAGGGCATTTAAGGCCTTGGGGCGGTTGAGCTGGATCACACCTATATTCTGCTTAGTTCCTTTCTTCTGAACCATGATGTACTGGAACTGAGAACCTGACAGGAAAGGAAAATAATTAGTCGTTGCAAAAATAAGCCTCCACTCCCTCCCTCCCACCAGAATGGAACTGCTTCCTTGATGACTGGATCCTACCCCAGGAATTACCTTTCTGTCCTCCTCTGCTAAGCCCCATCTCCCAATACATTTCTACTGATGCCTCTAACATCCATGTTTCCCTGCATCAGTAGGGAGCAGCCTCCACTACTTGCTTGTTCTAGGCGTTGAGAGTCTGGTCTGTCAGCTTGTGTCTTGCACTAACAGTAAGTCAGGACAGAACACAGCTTCCTGGACTTTACATGGCAACAAGCACATAGCTGACACACACTTTCCCCTGAGAGTCTTGCTTTTTGCTGAAACCATTGACTGGATGCTAAGAGGTCTGGGAAAGCTGCAAAGACAGACTCCAAGGAAACATGTGGATGAAATCTTACTGAGGCTCTCCTGGTACCTTGTAAATGCCCATATCTCACTTCAGATTCTGGCCTCATAAAAACTTTCCCCCATCTACAAAAAGGGAGACAACACTCTCCATCTCTCTCCTCCTCATGACTAACACAGTGGAGGGTTCGTTACTCTGCCCCTCCCGCAGAACATGTGTTTGAGAACAGAAAGGAACATGATCTCTTATTCTATAACTCGCCACCTCCTCCAGGGTTTTTCCAAGTGCTTGCCTCTTCTACTGCTCACAGCAGCATGACAAGCTCAGATTCATGCCTATTTCACCTGGTGCAGGGTGCCAAACATCATCCCCAAACTGACCATCATCTTGCTAATTTCACTCTGTCACTGCTTAGGAAAACTTTGGACACAGAGAGAAGGCCTGGGATTCCTGTCAGCAAGCGTAGGCAGAAAGGGCTACCCAGTGGAAAAAATAATTCATTACCATTAAGCTCCTGGTAATATCTTGTTAACTAAGTCACCCCTTGCTTTTATTTTGAGATTATCAAGAAATCTAAAGCTTTTTACAAAGATGGGTCCGTTTCATTACCCCTTTACCCTAGACAAACCCTGCTTGAAGAGTTATTTGGCAAAGACCACAGCCCAATTCAATGGCAGAGGTCACGAGTACAAGCCTTGGATACTCCACTCCAGTGAAAAGCTTAAAACCACCAGCTTCTTCAGAATTAAACAGAGTACCCCCTCACTTCGCCAAGATTTCGGACATGGCCCTGACAAGTAGCATTACCAACTCATGTAAAATGGACATCAATTATATTCATATTCACATGGTTCTACTGCAATAGCAACAAGCTGCTGTAGCAGCAGGTAGCAAAGAGACCACTTGTAGTATATCACAGAGGACAGTTTCAGTTGGTCAAGGCAACAAGTTAAAAATCAACCTTCACATGAAAGAATCTCTAATAAACTGCACTGTGGTCGAATGGAAACCCTTCATTTGGTCAGACTGCATTTGCTCTTGTATGTGCTCACAGGTACACTTGACTCTTTTCCAGACTAACTGCTCCTTTCAAACTGAACCTTCCAGGCAGGTCAAATGAAGGCACCGCTTTTGTCATAACAACCTGCTGGAAGGACTATTTTAGGAGAGGAGGCATTCAGCTCTATGGTGCCCACCACCCCTATTCCTGACATGCAGGGTGTGGCACAGTCATCATTTCCATAGATAGGCACCTAAATGAAGTAGTCTGTTTTGCACAACTGCTAGGCATCTACAAGACCCACTGGTGTCAATGAGCAATACTGAACACATACACCTGCCAAAGTCAACCTGCTTCTATGAGAGGAGCCAACTATGGACTTTGAAATCCAACATTAACCAACATCAAAAATTTTAAATCAGAAAAGCCATCTCCCCAAGCTTGCATGAATCTGGATGGTCAGAGGTTGGCTGGAATCGGCCTGGCCTGAACCAGTTTTCTCTACCCTTACTCACATTCCCTCCATAGCTGTAGCTTTTTAGCAGCACACAACCACAACCAGCAATCCACCAACAGGCCTCAGAATAAGTCAGTCTAAAGAAAGAATTATTTTTCCCCTCTCGTTACTAGACAGAAGAGACAGAAATTCCACTTTCACATGGGGACCCCAAATAACCAAGAGAAACACACAACCCTTATTAAGCTATTAATACCTTGCCTGAGTAACTGAAATAAGAGAATGAAAATACACTGAAAAAAAATCAAAGGACCACATCTTCAGATGAAAGAAGATCATAACCAGATAACGTTTCCTGCCCAGCTGAGGCTGAAGTCTTCTCTCAAACATACCAGTAGCTTTAACTCCACTGTACCACTCAAAGCAGATTTTCTTCCACTGAGAGCAGTGTGTGAACCCTGATTTAATAAGTGAATTTGAAAAAAATGACCCTGCCCGCCCCCCCAAAATGCCTTTGTTGGGATGGGTGCCATATAAATCTAAATAAATAAACAATAAATGTTATCTATCTCTTACAAAAGGCATGCAAGCCAGTGACATGCATACTACAATCTGCATGAAAGGATTATCCAGCGGTTACAATAGCTGGAAATTGCTAGAGATATATACCAGGTAAATATAACAACTTTCCTCCCACTAAGTCACTGATTTATGTTTCTCAGCAGACCTCAAACTACAAATAAACACACAAATACGTGTGAATACATAACCTAAAAGAATCTGTTTCTCTTCCTGTTGTTATTATTTGGAGGGGAGAGAGGGTTGCAGAGGGGAAATAGGATTTTGCTCCTAACGCATCTGCCTGTTAATGCCTTTGCTGAATCCACTTAACTGTAGACTCAAGATTCTTGTAAATTCAAGAAATCCTTTGAAAAGAAAGGACAAATTATTATGCAGGGTCTCACATAACTGCCTAGCTGCACCTCCAACCTCGGCTCTGACTGCCTCGCCCTTCTACCACCATGCAGACGGCCAACTCAGGTGTTCAGGCAGCTCCTCCTTGCCAGCTGATGCGGCACCAGGATCAGTTATTACAAGGGTCCATCCAGATCAGCACTAAGATTTATTCCTGCATGACAAAACATGAAGACCGTACATCTTCAAGGCCCCCTGGATGGCTAGCATACCCTTACAGTTACATCCGTTCACGAGCCAATGTAAAGGCCTGTGAAAATAACGAGATATGACCGGCTCAAAGGGCTCAATCCAGTAAAGCACCAGAAGGGCAGCAGGGAGGTTGAGACCCCTCTTGCAGAGTGCATGTGCTGAACTAGGAGTCACAGCACGACTCAACCCTCCCTTTCCACCAGAGAAAACAGGTCACCAGAAGAGCCCCTTGAGTACAACCCTGGCATCATCGTTACCAGCCCACTGCCCAGGCCAAAAGCCACGTGCAGCGGAAAGCAGCCCACTACCAAGGCTCTGAGCAGTGCCCTGGAAAGGCTGGAGGGACTCCGAGTATTTCGGGAGAAAGCTGCCAGGAGGGAGGGAGGGAGGGATCCCGGCGGTCCGCACTCCGGGAAAGGCAGGAGGGCGCTCAGGTTGAGTCCAGGGCCAGACCGGGAAGTCAGGGGCTGAACTGACAGCAAGGAAGACGTGCACAGCGCCGGGCAGGCCGCCCTGTCTGCGGGGCGGGGCGGGGCGAGGCGGGGCTCCCCGAGCCCACTCCGGGAGGCGTTCCTGCGGGCGCCCCGGCCTGCAGCCAGGCGCCCGCCCTCACGACTCGGGCTCAGGCTCGGGCTC